ATCTGCCCTAACGAAGGCAGCAACTGCAACAGCAACAGCCACAGCCATAGCAGCAGCCACAGCAGCAGCCACAGCTGCAGCCACAGCCTCTGTAGCAGCTGGGGACCTTTCTCATGGATCTTTAGTGGCAGCAACAGTAGCGGCTGCTCGGCAGCTTATTTAGCGCCGCAGCCGTTAAGAAAAGTGCATGGCATAGATTTTTATCGATTCGTCTCACACAGCCACTCAACGCTGCGTTCTCTCTGTGCGCTTAGCTAACCAAAAAGACAAAACGAAGAAGAAGAACAAAAACGCAACAAAAATGCCAGCAATAGCCGTAGAGAACCAGCGACCCTTCAAGCCAACTACTTAGCCAAGCTGAGCTCAAGTCTTGTGCTATTTAGCATATTTCATAAATGCACAAAAGCCACAAGTAACATGCGATTCCGCCTCTGGCATTTGCACATGTTGCATGCATCTGTCGTAATTATTCACTGAATCGGAATTTGGGGTATATTAGTTTTGATAAAAGCTATTCAACAGGCCGCAGGAGGCGTGGCAGGTAGATACATATATATAATGAGCATGATGAGCTGAGAGTCAGCTCAGTATATATAAATAAATATATATAAATCTATTATGGAAATGGTAAATGAATAAATTTCTAAAATTTAAATAAATAATAGACCAAAAATTAAATTTAAAAAAAAAAAAATATTTCTTATAGAAATAGAAATCAATATATTTTTAAAAATTGAAATAAATGAAACTCATATATTATATATCATATATAAATAAAAAAAAATACATATTTGAAATATATATTATACTAAGTAAATACCAACAAAATAAATAAATTTATAAAAATATATGTATATAATCGTAGCCCACACTTTCATCTGCCCGTCTGTCTATTCACAATTGGAAGTCTCTTAATATACATGCATACATATATATCAAGTTTAACTTTTTTTTTCGATAGCTCATCCCACGTTTATATTTTCCGAGAAAACTCATTTGACTCCTTTTCTTACGCGTGACTCGAATGATTTAAGAGCTAGAGATTTTGAATTTTGTTCGGCAGGTCCGTGAAACTTTAATACAACCTGGCCTATGCTAAAATAAAACATGTAATTATCATGCTCTGAAATTCTTCAGATTTTCAACAAATCTATCAGCATATATGCCCATAGCCTATGCTGCTGCCCAAGCGCAGTCGCTGCCCAGTAAGCAGAGCGAATACTTAAATGCGCGTGTATGTGTGAGTGTGTATTGCACATTTCTGCATAAAATAGGCTTAGTATAATGGGTATATTAAGTCTTCAAAGGGCTTAAAGTATCTTCCTGTCGAGAAGTCTCAACTATGTCATTGTCATTTCTTATATTATGATATATTTTCTCCGACCTTAAGGTATCTCCTATGCGGGCAGCCTCAGCTATGTCACTCTTATTTTCTATTATTACGATATGTTTTTTTTTTTCGGGCTTAGGGTATCTCCCAGTATCACGATATAATTTTCTTCGACTTTAGGGTATCTCCCAGTCGAGTAGTCTCAGCTACGTCATTCTCTTTTGTTATTATTATGATACAGTTATCTTCGACTTTAGGGTAACTCTTATTCGAGCAGCCTCAGCTATGTCATTCTTATTTCCCATTCTTACGATATAGTTTTCTTCGGACTTAGGGTATCTCCCAGTTGAGCAGCCTCGATTTCGTCATTCTCATTTCTTACTATTAGGATACAGTTTTCTTCAGTTGCCTTTGTCAATACTGAATGCAAATTCCTGGCATATTCATTGCGAATTGCTGGCAGTTGTTGTTGCGGCCCACTCAGGTATGTCCACGCATCGATTTCACATAAATTTGAACGCAAGTCTCTTTGTCGTAATGCGAGTGTCTTTCAATTTGAGCAGTCCGCACATTCCATCATCAGCTAAGGCTCTTTATCGCACTCTGTGGCCCGCCCCAGCCCCTTGTCGCAGTCTGATTTTCTATTAGCATCTCGAGATTTGCTGCTGATTAGCCAACCTGAGAAGCTGAGCAGAAAAGCTTATAAACATTCGCCTGCTGCTGCAGCTCCAGCTACTCCGGCTACCGTTGACAGCCAGCGACGGCTTCAGTTCCAGCAGTCGGGGCCATTCATTGAGCAGCATCTGCATCTGATACCAGTTTATTGTCATCATCAACTCCCTTCTTATGCCATTGTCGTTGCCCGTGCGACTCATGTTTTGATTTTGTCCTGCTGCTGTTGTTGTTGTTGTTGTTGCTGTTGTGCTTGTTTCTGCTTGCAAAGTTGTCGTGGCGCTGCGAAATCTGCTTATCAAAGCCAATGATAACGTGAGACGCGTCGCAGCAACCTGCTATGGTCTTTGCCTTAGATTAGAATCATAAGTTGGAAATGGAAATTGCATCTAGTTATGCACACATTTGTAGCAACTAGATCTGCTCGGGGGGAGGGGGGACTAAGGTGGAGTTACCCATGTATCATTATAGGTTTTCTGATGACTTGTTCATATCATTCCAATTAGAATATAGCATATCAAATATGCATATACCATATATATTCTGTACTACTACTCTTTGAATTTATCAGCTAACTGCCCTTCTTTGCCCCCCTCCAACCGTCTTTCCATCTCTCAAATTTAGACCTCTTTCTTTGGCTTCTTCCACCAGTTCAACCAGTTTTAATTGTTCACTTTGCCACTGAAAATGAGTTTTACTCTCTGCTGCAATCTAAATTAAAATTTGTTTTTTGGTTTCTTTACAAGTGGGCAAAATGTAATAAAAAAAGGGAAAAAATCATTTATAAATGAAATTCAGCAAACTATGAATTTCCTAAAAAAAAAAAAAAAAAACTTAGCGAAACTCTAAAAGTGTTAATTAAAATAACAAACTTTTCTTAACCCATATTCATTTATTCATTTATTTTTCACAATTATCATTATTTCAATTTCCAGAAAGCAAATATAAATAACAAAATTTTTACAAATATGAATATATAAATATAAATTGTAAATTACTAATTGAAAAAAAATTTTTTCAATTTAAAGTCAATGAATATTGCTAAAAATATTTCATAAATTTTAATCATATACAAATGGAAGGTAGACATAAATACATATATTGATAAAAAATAAAAAAAATGTGCTAATTGAATAAATTTATAGAAAATTTTAAAAATCAACAAATTTATAAAAACTCATATAAATATAAAATATTGTAAAAATTTATTTATTTACAATATTTGTTATAAATTTATTTATTTATACACACTTAAACAACGCTTTTTTAAATAAATATATAAAGCGAAATAAATAAATAACAAAATAAATAAATATATAAATAATAAAATAAAAAATAAATCAAAATATATAATTGAACCAAAAATAAAAATGTTTAATTTGTATAAAAAAAAATAAATTACATATCATTCCAATTAGAATATATGCATATATCATAAATATATTATTCTATTACTCTATGAATTTATTAAGCCCTTCTTTCCCCCTTCCAACTGTCTTCCTTTCTATCAAATAAATAAAGGTGAAATTTGAATGCCATACGACTAAAAACAATTTTAAATAAATATAAATATATAAAAATATATGAGGTCTGATATTTAAAAGATGTAGAATAATAAAATGTTTATATAAATTTACAAAAAAAAAAAAAAAAAAAAAAAAAATAATAATAATAATAATAATAATAATAAAATGTAAGTAAAATAAAATTTTAAATATATAAGAATATATAAATGCAAATTATAAAATATGTATATGTAGGTATATATTTAATTTTCCCGAAAAAAATATAGTGTCTTAAAAGTATAATCATAAATAAGAAAAGTATATATTATAGAATCAGCGTCTAGCACAGCTGAAGCAAACCTTCCGCTCGTTGGCTAACAGCGGCATAACAGCTGGGGAAATTTGTGGCTAACAGCGGCCGTTAAAATGTCCCACACTTGGCAGGCGCCTGGCCTGATAAGAGCCGCGTCGCAGGCTGGCTTTGAGCTAGTTGCCAGCGAGCAACCAAACGACATGGACGTGCAACAGCAGCCGCAGCAGCAGCAACCATAGGCAGCAACTGAAAGCCATTTGAGCCAACATTTGAATGGACAACGGTCAGCAAGGCAGCACCAACTAAAAATATTGAAGTTTCCGTTATTTTGGAGTTGTGTTTTTTTTTTTTTTTTTTTTGGTGCTCGTTGCTGATAACTTTTGAAGGCTGGCAGCCAAGTGAATGACTCTTAATTGGCAGTGAAAAAAAGAAGAAAAAAACAAAAATAAATAAATATAAAAAATAAATAAATAAATAAAAAAAAATAGTGAATATAAATTAAGTTTGCTTTGCAATATTTTTTTTGTGTGTGTTAAATTTTGCATTTGTTCCTTGCGACATTGCTGTGGCTAATAACAAGTACATTGAGTGAGTGAATATGTGCATGAGTGTGTGTGTGCGTGTGTGTGTGTGACTGTGCATGCTGTGTGTGTGCGTGTGTGTTACGTGTTGTGCATGTGTAAGCAGGCGCATAGCGAGAATTGCTTGGCGCGCTCAAAAGTAGGCAACGGAAACGCAACGCACTGAACTTGGCTGCCATTTGGCCGTATGTGTGTGTGTGCATGTGTGTGTGAGTGTGTCACTCTGTGTGGGTGCATGAGTAAGTGAATTGAGTGTACGTGTGACTGCATTAGTAAGTATGTGAGCATTCCGTCTAAGCGTTTTTTACTCGGCTCTTGCCTTGCCTTGTTTTGTGCATGTGTGTGTGTGTGTATGTTATATTTGCGACAATTTATCATAATTGGCTTTACATTTAAAGCAGCTGGAGTTTACCCACCGACATATATATATATATATACATACATATATTGAAATACTACTGCCAACTGCGTAACACAAGCTGCCAAAAATAAACGTTAAGCAACAAATAAAACTGCCAAGACAAAGTCAGACGAAGAAGAAGCAAAACAAACAGCAAAAAATACGCTTTCTTCCACCTGGTTTTTTTTTTCTGTGTGTGTTTTTGTTTGTTTGTTGACAAAGTGCAAAACAACAACAATAACAACAACAACAACAACAACAATCGACAATAGAAGCCGCCAACGTGTTCACAATTTCGTTAATGCTGACGCCCACAGAGCAGGCCGTGCGGTAAGTTGACAATTCCATTCCATTCATTTCCATTTTCATTTTGATTTCTCTCTGCACGTTGCTCCCCCCTTTGTCGGTCTCTGCCTCCTGCTCGTTACACATTTTCCAACGCAATTGCGAGTGCACTTTTAGCAGCATTTTGTTCGTACTACACGAACAAGCTTCAAACGCCGCTTGATTTCTAAGTGCATCTGCATGTTTGCATGTGTTCGATGCTCTCTGTGTGTGTGTGTGTGTGTGCGAGCAGGGGTCGTGGTCGGTTTCGTTATTACAAGTTATGCGCTTTGGCATGCCAACAGCCAAAGCCAACAAGCCAACAAGCCAACAGGCCAACAATCTAACAATGCCAGGCAGCTGCTACCAATGCTGCTCCTGCTGCTGCTGCTGCTGCTGCTCCTGCTGCAAGCGCCAAGAAAAGTCACGTTGCCAATGGCAAATGGCAACTTTGAGTTGCTGTACCCCAAAACAACAAACTATAGATATATAAATGTATATATATATATATATATATATATGAGAGCAAGGAGCTGAACTAAAACGTATAAAAGCTAATTTCGTCACACACACACATACACATATATATGCACATGTAGTGGCATCTCTTTCGCACACGCTCACGCTGTCCACTGATAGCAGTTGGCAAAAGTTGTCAAATTGCACGCTGCAGCGACGCAGCAGCAACTCTCATCAAGCCAAGGCCAATAATTGTCATTTACGAGCGGAGCAAGGAGACAGACATAGATAGACAAATATATATAGATATATACAAATATATATAGCATATAAATATTTATCTATCTCTTTTATATTGTTAAAAAATAAACCAATTTTTAGTCGGGTGCTACCGACTGCAGAATACTCATTCATGTTCAAAACGCTGTCAGCTCGAAAATTTTGATTATTTACCTATATTTAATAATCTATATGAATATTTGATATTTAATAGAAATTTATATATAAACCATATTATTTATGATTTGAAATTGGAATAATATCTTTATTAAAATCTGTAATATATATTAAATCTATACCAAAATCTAAAATATATATGTATATCCATATTCAAATTTGTCTTAGAGCTGACCTCCTTTTGGCATAAAATGTTTTAGATATAAGCTTTGTATAACACATTATATTATTATAGATTATTCTGATTTACCATGCCCAACCCAAATGGATATATTTAAATATATATACAGTTTTTAGTAGATCCTTATATGAAATCAATAATGATCTCTTAGCATTGGCTAAGCGTTTAGTCTCTTACTGCAAGACCATAGAGGGTACAATTTTTCTTAATGCACCACGCCCCCAGCTCTACGGTACTTTTTTGATCTTGTATTAAGTATATGTACATTTCCAATCTCTAGTCTAATAGTCATCAAAACCTAAATGAACACAAAAGTCAGACTCGATTTGCCACGCCTCCAATGAGCGCGGACACAGAAATTTTGTCAATCTTAAGAAGAGCTCTAGAATAATGTAATCTAACTGTTGTGTGACATCATTTCCAAAACTGCAAATTAGAGGGTATTTTTCAATATGCCACGCCCTCATGGGAGCGCAAAATTCTTTTGGACTTCTGAATACAGGAGATTAGAGCTAGGAGCTGTGAAATTATATATATTGAGTTGAATTATTCCCAATTATATAATTCTCTAACTTCTAGCTCTAACAATCTAATGAGCGGCTTTTTTCTTTATCTGCCACGCCCATGTGCCCATTAGAGGCGTATCAAGTAAATTTTACTGCATTATCAATATACATACCACGAGTATATATTTCAAATTTCTAGCACCAATAGTGCCCAAAATATAATAACTATATCCGAATATTCACGCCCCTAATGGGCGCATCGTAATGATATCAACAGCAACGAATATGTAATTCAAATTGCAAGTCTCTAGCGACGAAATGTTTAAGGACAGACGGACGGAGGGACTGCAAAGTAGAGAATACACTAAGCCAATATACCCATTTCCATTTCCATTTCCATTTCCATTCTTGACTGAGAGTAGAATGCCAACAATGTGCAAATCGAAGTAGATTGACGGCATTTTATGGTGACTATAAAGAAATGTTATGCTTAAATTCGAATTTGGTTTTCCCTTTTGGCCGCATTTGAAAGCTAAAAGCTTGGCACAAACGAATTGGTTAATTGAAACATATTTTTGTCAAGTTAACCAAATTCAATTAACTCGAATCGAAAATGAGATTCATTAATGACTAGAATTCATTTAATAATAATTGCAGGAAATATATGTAACTCACTCTAGCTCTATCCCCATGCTCTCGCGCTCTCTCTCTCTCTCTCTCTCTCTCTCTCTCTCTCTCTCTCTCTCTCTCTCTCACTCTCTCTCTCTCTCTCTCTCTCTCTCTCTCTATCTATCTATATTCTATATAAATATATGCTTAAATATTTAATACAAAGAACACTTTGAATGCTTTGACTATGCCGCAGCAAACTGAGTCAAAGTTTTATAGCTCGGGTCAAAGCAATTTATAGCAATCTCTCTCTATCCCTCTCGCTCTCTCTCTCTCCCTCTCTCTCCCACGCTCTCTTGGTTAATGCTGTTGCTGCTGCTCTGCATACCAATGTCAATTTCAATTGCAAATTAATCGAGCAGCCTCCCGTGTCACGCCCGTGTCACGCGCGTGTCACGCGCGCCACGTCGCCACAATCGCTCTGACCCTGAACGACTCTCGCTGATGACTTTTGCGATAAGCCTTCGATTAAAAACTCGCCCATTTGCACTGGCCAACAAGTTAGTCAAACGGAAAGTTTCGAGTTATATTTCTATACGCGCACATATAGAAATCTAATCAGCGCAAAGTGGAAATTTGTTGGAGAGTGTTATCAGCATTGGCTACTCAGCACTTTCGCTCGTCCTTGCCAGCAAAGTTTTCCAGCCAGCTTCCATCTAAGTTTTCTTTGTATTTTCTTTTCTTCTGCACTTTCACGATTTTCTTTGAAATTATTTTCACATAGATTTCTTTTAGCTTTTTGCTCTGCGAAGTTGGCGCCTGCAAGTATGCAAGTATTTTTTTAATGCTTTTTTTCTTGATTTCATCCGCTTTTGAGCCGCACGCGCCTTATTTCTATATTTTTTAATTAAACGCTTAATTGGCTGCCACACCTTTGGGAAAATTAATATAAGAAACGATTGCGTAATTAAAAGCAAACAACAAACATATTTGCTGCTGTTATTTTTATATATCTCTAATATAAAATACATACCATACAATATATAGGTATATCTGTTAAGATCTTTCGGCTTGATAGCGTCACAGTCCCAGACACGCCCCACACATCTCGACTCGTTGACGCCTCGTCACAGTCCGCATAGAAATTATAAACTTAATGGTCTGGCAGGCACACACACACACTGACACACACACACACACACACACACACACCCATCTCATGTGCTCATAGTGTTTAGTATTAGGCTTCACCAGCTTTGCTCCTAAACAGAATTTGTAGTACGAAGTGAAGTGCGCGTGGGCTTAGCCCAGTTCAATGGCTATGCAAATATTGACAGCTTTGTTTTACAGAATACGGAATACATTAAAAACGTTCAACGTTCTCCCATGATAATTACGAAATGGCTAAATATTAAATGCTTTACTTTAAATATAGTTACAAATATATACATACATACATTCATATATATGTTCAGTTACAAAAGCTGAACAAACTTAGATAATGAGATCCTGAAAATCCTATATACAGTAGTAGTATACAGTAGCATCCGGCTGTAATGATGCTCAAGATACCGTCGTTATAGCAGGAAGACGCTTTACCCATATAAGTTTGCTCATATTAGTTTATCTGGGGACCAGATGAATATGAATTTCGTCGCAATGACCGTACGGACGCTTTAAACAGAGTCGTTATAATCGGACTCTACTGTATTTGTATATACATATAAAGTCAAGACATTGAGTTAAATTTTTAGCGTGTATTGCTCATCCTCTCTCTTTCTCTCTTTTCATCTCTCTATCTCTTTCTCTCTCTCGATCTGTCTTTTGTAATTTCTCAGTCTTTATGAGTGTTTCACACTATTTCTCTCTCCTTTGATCTCACTTTATTACGATCTGTTTCCATACTCTCCCATTCGCTGTTTCACTCACACTCTAACTTTTCTCTGTGTCACTCTCTCTCTATCTCTCTCTGTCTCTATCTATCTCTGTCTCTATCTTTCTCTTTACCTCCCTCTCTATCTCGCTCTCTATCTCTCTATCTCTCATTATCTCTCTCTACTTCGTTCTCTTTCTCGTTCTCTATCTCTTTCTCCCGTCCATTCAGCTGTCCGTTCATCCGTCTCTTCATTCATCCGTCCACCCATCCGTTCATTCATTTCTTATTCTATCCGTCCATCCGATTGTTCAATATTCGTTCGTCTGTCGGTTTATTCGTCCGACCCACCATTCGTTTTTCGTTCGTCCGACGTGTCGGTCACTCCGTCCGTCTGTTCGCCCGTTTGTCACGCCGTCTCATAAGGTGCTCAGAAATTCCCGATATATTCTATCTGGGGTCATGGCTAATCGCTATTTATTATATTAGCAATGAAAGAAGATTATAGATACATGAGCAGATAGTTCCCTGAGCAGATAGTTGCACAACGAAAATATATATGGGTCTTTTTAAGGGCGTGGCAAATTGAGCTCCACAGCAATAGAGTTTGATTCCCGCAGATGTCCACTTAAAATTGAATTCAAAATTAAAGACATAGTAAACAGAGGATGGCGCCCGACTTCAGTTAAAGACTTGAAAAGTAAATGGGAGATATATATCCGCATTTATAGCTTGCTACCCTTACAAAAATCTGCAAATTTGCCAAATAGGATATCATGTATGGAGCTCAACGCGTTTGTGAGCCGAAGATCTGCTTCGCATCGCAGCAGCTGATAGACGCTTTCAATAGTCTCTAATCTGATTTGGGTTCCTTTTGAGGCGTGAGCTGATGTTTAAAAGGACATTAGGAATATACAAATCA